TGCGACAAACATAGCGAAAGTCTTTGCGTTGTCTCATCAATGCAAAGATGTTATCCCTACCTTAGATGCGATTTGTGAAAGTTCTCCACTGGTAACTGGTGAATCGACATATGTGAGTGATAATATCTTTCATATGGCTGAGCAGATCTGTAGTAATAGCCCTGAAACAGGTCTACCGGTACTGTAAACCTCAGACAAATATTTTGCTCGCCGGTATACGAATAGCCTGCGACGGCTCCCGTCCACGCATCATAGAGGTCTTCTTCAGTTGTGCACATACTGGCGACATTGACATTTCTTCGCTATTCGCGCAGCTAGAGGCCGCGCTCATCAACACGAACGGACCTGATGCTCTCGCACTGACCATCGAGTGCCAGGCCGGAGAAGCTGGCAGGATTCTGATCGATGGAATACTGGAAGACCGCATCTTAGCGCAGCTTCGGACGCGCCCCACAATGCTCTTTGCGAAGATCTCCGAGATTTCAGGCCAGTCTAAGTCTATTACCGTCGAACAAATCCTCTCCGCACCGACGTCCATCAGCTCGGGCGAAGAAACCATCCCGCTCACCACCGCTCAGCGCACGGAATGGGTGTTGGACAAGTACATCAGGAAGGAGGCTGTCCGTCCGCAGGAGCTGCTGCACGCCGCTCGAGAGACCGGGGACATTGCAGGCACGAGCTCTGCAACGGGACAACGCGCTGTGAAGCGATCGGAGGACGACGCAGCAGGACAGGCGCAGGGGGTCGCGGCGGACCAGGATGAGGAGCAGAGGGACAGGGGCGAGGAGTGAGATGACGGCGAAGAATCGGGCAGCGAGCCTGGACGCGAGGCGCGATATCGGGGCAGGGAAGGCTGTGGTGTATCGTCGCAGAAGGGATATGGACAGGCGCGAACACTCGAGATAAGTCGTTTGGAGGAGAGGCGGAGGCGTTCGCAGGGCGAATAGAGCGAAGGACAGGCGTGGTGAGCAGACAGATGTGTGTCCTTTGACGGCCAACATTCACGGTGTCCGGTGCGAACATTTTTCCTTGGTACGGACAAGCTGCTCGTGGCTTCCCAATTCCTGCGGTGTATGACTTGTTTTGCGGATTTCTCGGACTCTCGTCTCAGTATTCTTAGGCTCATGCGTTCCTAGTCTAGCCATGTAAAAGTTTTACAAAACAATTACGAATATTCGCTAGCCAATATACTATGTACTTGATCCGTTCTGCTGTGATGCTACAGCTGACGACGCCCTATTAAATCGAATAAATTTGCGTAGAGCCGGCGTTAAGCATCTCAAACTTGGAACGTCGTGGATTTAGCGGACTCAGTGATTGTAGGGAAATCTCTGACAAAGCGAGGAAACGAAAGTTTCTTCTCTGACCTAATAGATCGATCGACCCGGGAATAGAATAGAGATCGACAGTTCGAAGAGTGCCCAGAGAGTGAGAATGGAGGCATCTTGTGCAGTGCAATAGGTGGCTTGACAGGCCATGCGTGAGTTCTTCCAAGTTCTCCCGCGACCAGGGCTGCAAGAGAGTAAATGATTTGCGAAGCTTCTCGTCGCGCGCGAGCGCAGAGTCACACACGCCTGGTCAGACATTTTTATCCAGAAACCGTCCCGTCTACAAATACCCTACTACTCTGTCTTCGCGTCGTATAGAGAGGGCTAGTGGGGTACATTGGCGTGTCTGTGCACAAGACAAGTAGATGCGATCACGAACCTGACAGTATATTCCAACTGCATGTCTAAGCCGACCCTCGCGGCGGTCGAGGGTTCCGCTCGAGGACTCACGTCACCGAGCGTATCCAAGGCACTGCGGCTCCCTTGCTCTACTAGGTAAACACCTGCACGGCCGGCAATATTCAGATCTGAGGTCAATTCCGATGTTATCGACTGGGTGTTTCATAAGCGCAGACGAGACGTCCGCACTCGCAGTGACGCGGGCTCACCTTGAGAACGTCACGTCCTCCATCACCTTCCTTCCAGATATCCGAGTCGCCACCCTCCATCAGCTAAATTGGTAGTTCGCGGGAAGCACACGACTGACACCAAGGCGTTCGCGAGAGTGATAAACTTGAACGCTGAGCTTAATTTCGGCTGGCGTTTGGCGAAGTTGAAGTTCGCATATATGTTCGCGGCATTATCTTCGGAAGACGAATCAAGCCGGAGGCTTGCAAGTTCTGATGGGTAATTCGTGGGCGAGTCATAACCTATAGCAGCCGAAGGCGTACCGAACAATGGCTGTGCGGCTGTCGAGCTGTGGGTGAGCGTAATACACAAGGGCGTCCGACGTAAGCGTCGTTTGGGTGAACGTGACTGCTGCCTTGCGAGCCGACCCGCAGGTCATCGAGCCCAAATGAGAGGCGATGACGAATACACTACGGGAATTTTAGATGAACGAACAGCCGAATATGAGTCTAAAAAGGCGTAGAGATGCAGCGAGATGTTTTTAGCTCTGAGAAGCTGCCAACGAACCTCGCGGACAAGGTAAATCCAAGCACTACAACCAGGCGCTGTTTCGAGGACCCGCCGAGTTGCTGTGCGACAGGTAAAGTACACCAACTATCGCGGAAAAAAGTTAGAGCCAGTAGATATGTGCCAAATACGCGCTTTGAGCTCAGACTCCCAATGGATGCAGGTGACGCGAGCCGCGCTGTGCCCCACCGTGGCGCATCTGTTCCCCATGCCGCCATGTGGCAGGACGGTGGCATTGCACAGATACGATTGGAATACCGCTCTGGCGGCCCAGTGTTGCATGCCAAGCTGATGCCGCAACCTAAAGTCTCCGCACTCAAAAGCAGAGCGGGTGGCCGGGGGGGATTGCGACGCACGAGACGTACAGTCTGCAATAATACAAGTCAGAGCGTCTCGATAACACTCTATGCGAACTAAAACCTGATTGTGCCAAAAATAATGTCGGTAAAGGCCCCTATGCGGTCGTTCTCCAGGTCGACACCACAGCATGCAGCTCAGCGATGTGCCAGATATCAGCGACGAAGTTTACAACGGTGAGCGAGCACACCAGCACACTTAAAGACTTCGCATCTTCCGATGCCTTCTGTCTGCTAGGCTGTGCGAACGCTCCACCAGAGAACTTTGACGAGAACGCGACACGCTCACCACTCGTGAATATTCCGGGGCGAGTTTCTAACTTGACGAGTTCATTTCAAAGTCCGCTGATAGCGACTCCGTTTGTTTACCAATGTTTTCCGCAACAGCGTCCGGTGTTTAGCTAATACCGATGACTCATCACTCACAATTGAGACGCTGGCCTTTACTAGGGTCTGGTGCTCACACCGTTGGCTCTTTATCGCGGTTGCGTTTATATGGACGAGCGCGTCCTCTCGCAGCTTTGTGCAGCCTACAGGGACAGCAAGAGGCTATCTAGAAGGATCGGCGAACGTGACGCGAAATCAGATGCGTCCCTGTTTTTGGGCGACCGATTCACACGTCTATTTGAATATGTGGTATCTATTTCTCATTGCCTCTACCAGCGTTTCGCAAACAAGCTCTGCAGATAACGATGGAATACGGCGCGTACGGCGCCAGCTGCTTTAACCGCCACAGCCGTGCTCCAATCTGCCTATAGCAATGACTTCGGTTTCTGCGCCACTAGAATCCCTCATCGACGTCCTCGTCATAGGTGCTGGACCGGCAGGTCTTGCGACCGCGCTCGGCCTCACAAGGGCGGGGATAAAAGTCAGAATCGTCGATATCAGGTGGGTGCACGCTGTCTGATGTGTTCCTACTCAGGCTGAATACGTGGTACTCATGGCTATGTCAGAGCACAGAGAATTTCAGTAGGCCACGCGGATGGCATCATGCCCCGAACTATCGAGGTTCTTGACGTGCGTCTTTGCTATATCATTTCAGCTGTAGAAATGACGGATAAACTCACAGAGCTATGGTGTTAGCAATGAGCTTATCAGAAAGAGTCATCATGTGTACGCGATTGTGGGTGTCGGAGAGCATTTCAATTGGTAACATCATAGTGACCATTTCTCCCCCGCAGAGCAACTACAACTACGACCCTTCCATCGATGGTATCAAGGTACGCACTTTTCCTTTTAGCGCTCGAAAATAGAGTGTGAGCTATAGCAATGACAAATTGGCAGTACGCCAGCAGAGTGCCGGCGATAAATGAACCCACCGCGAGGTATAAATACATTGCAACCCATAACCAGGGTTTCATAGAAGGCTTGTTGCTGGCCGGTCTGGAAGATGCCAATGTACGGGTCGAGCAGGCGTGCAAACCGACAAGCTTGGAGCTGTCATCCTGTGAAGACGAGCTGAAAGATCATGCGTCATACCCTGTTAAAGTATTCTATTTTTTCTCTCTATCATGCCTGCATGGCGAACCATCATTTGATAGATTACACTCGAGCATCTCTCAGCTGCCCCAGGAACACCTTCCTCTGAAATTGTTCACGCAAGGTTTATCGTCGGCGCGGACGGAGCACACTCCTGGGTCCGCCATATGCTTGGTATTCCTATGGAGGGCGACAGCACTGGTGAACCCGTCTCTCTCATCAGGCTACATTTCGAAGTAATCCAGCGTACCGTATGTTTAGCTCGAGTCTGGGGGGCAATTGACTTTACGCCCTTGCCATCGAGTAACTTCCCCGACTGGCGGAACATCACAACGGTCAACGCTGCTGACACTGGCATTATGCTTATTCCCCGCGAATGCAGCAAAGTGCGATTGTACATCGAGCTCGGCTCTGTCGATGAGTTCGAGCAGGATGACCGTGGGCGACCGGATACCAGCAAGATCACCGCAGATAAGTTGCTCGACATCGCCAAGCGCGCATTCAAGCCATACATCCTAGAAACTACGCCGGACAAGGTCGAGTGGTGGACTGCGTATATCAGTGCGTATGTTTTATTTCGGGAAATCTGGGTGTATGCTCACTGTACGACCGTTTTCTGCGTGGTAATGCTAGTTGGTCAGCGAGTTGCAACCAGATTCTGCGATCGGGGTCGGGCGTTCATTGTTGGCGACGCATGTCACACCCATTCGCCAAAGGGTGGACAAGGCATGAACGCTAGCATGAACGACGGACACAATCTCGGTAAGCTCCACACCCCATCGGTATATCATGTTCCTAGCTGACGAAAGCTGTGTTACCTTTTTTTCAGCATGGAAGCTCGCTCATGTCCTGAAAAGTTGGAGTCCGATGGCGTTGCTTGACACCGTATGCTTCTCATATTGTTGGCATCTGACTATGCATTTGTGACAACTATACCATAGTACGAAGCAGAACGGCGTCCGTTTGCTCAAGAGCTCATCGCTTTCGACAGATGGTATGCTGAAGGTTTCAACGCCGAATCACGCGCAAAGCTCGTCCGAGAGAAGGGCTTAGAAGTCGCACTAACCGGCCCGTTTGAGTATGTCCGCTATTCTACTACGTATACTCATATCGGAAGCCTTAATGGTTTCCAGGGCATTCCGCACGTTCAGTGCGCTCACCACTGGCATCGGTATCCAGTACGCACCTTCGATAATCACATCACAGGTCTCTCCCACAGTAGACGTCATCAAAACCGAGACTTCGCCCTTCACATTGACAGTCGGCAAACGCGTCCCGCCCTATGCCCTCATGCGCGTTGCGGATTGCCGCCCGATTAACCTCCAGGATGCGTTACCGTCCGACGGCCTCTCCAAACTCATCGTCTTTGCCGGGCCTCTCACCAGCCTGGAGGAGAAGGGCAGGCTTGCAGAAGTCGAGGAGGCACTACGAGACATCTTTCATGCGTTCGGCACTGATAAATTCCGGCTCCTCGTCATACTTTCCGCAGTCAGCGACGATATGAGCTACAAAGACGTTCCGGTGGGGCTGCGGAAGGATTGGACGAGGTGTGTCTTTCGCCGTTCCTTTTGTTTTGCGGCCCTCTGACTTTGCGATCCGAGCATTCTGGTGGACTCTACCTCATCATTTTCGAACGAATCTGGTGGGGCGTACGCAGCATTCGGCATCCCGGTTACTGGAAAGTTTGTGGCTGTCCGTCCAGATGGGTACGTCGGTACAATTATTGAGCTGAGCGAGATGCGGAGGCTAGACGACTACTTGAGAGGATGGCTGCTTCGATCATCTGACCCTTTGTAAATGCCGTCCCATTATTTTACGAGAAGATCAAAATCGCTGTCATGGATATTGTCATGTGTAGTGGTGGCCAAAAAGAGGCTATTCTTCGAGAGTTTGCTCGAAAAATTTGCATTGGAAGCGTCAGAAAATGTGCCGCGAGCCGACGTTACATTATGAAACTTGCCAAGATTATATACAACTACGCCTTTCCTAGAGTCGCAGCAATGTGATCTAAGTCAGGAACCAGAGGGCTGTTATCCTCCCAGTCCTTCAGCACAAGAGGATCCAGCTCCCCGTTGTACTTGTCATCCCGCATCCACTGCTCGAGACTCTGCACATTAGGGTGGGCCTTGTGGATCCAGGCCATGTACCTCTTCGTTATATCGTCCCGGTACATGTACTAGAACCCTGCATGGTGCTCCTTCCATGTCATCTGGTCTCCGACCTTCGCAGCAGGGAAGTAGGTGTTCTTCCAGTTGCGGAACCATTCCTCAACAGTGAGGTGCATCGCGACGGCTGGCAGCCCGGTGGCCTTCCTGAAAGCCTAGACGGTGTCCTCGAGCGTGACTACGTCGCCCGTGATCTCGAGGTCCTTGCCCGAGACTTCGGCGCGGTTGTAGAAGGAGCAGCGGGCGAAGAAGCCGATGTCTTTGAGGGACACCATCGGGACGCGGCCTTGGCCGGTAGGGAACGCGAATACGTGAGTACCGTCGGCGCGGCGGGTGAGAGGTCCCCACAAAGACTGTATATTTTCCGGTCAGGGCGCCGTACAAACACACAGAGTGTACGCACCGATTTGAGCATCTCCATATAAGGCTCCGAGGTGAGGGAGCTCCAGGACAAGTCGCTGTCGCTGACGACGGAAGGCTAGGCTTTCAGCCAGTCTGCGACATGGCCCTTGCCGTCATAGAACCCAACCCTATACTTGGGATCAAAGCCTGCTTTCTGTACAATAGCGTCGGTGCTGCTGCACTTCCAAAATATAACAGTTTAAATTACCTTAACGGCATAGTCAAGGCTGCTCCAGACGTAGTGACGGACGGTTTTTGCCTGCTGAGCGAGCTCGAAGATACGCATTCCGAGGAAGACTTCTTTCTCCTCGCCAAGAGTATGCGAGTCGGTGTTCACGAAGGCGCCCTATGCGCCGTCTAAGGCGGCGAGAACAGTGGACAAGTCTTGCAACGAGCCTGCAGTGAATGACACCGTCAGCTTGTCAGTTTCGACGAGTTGTCTGCGCGCGTACCTTTGAAGAGCTCTACGCCTTTGGCTGCAAGTTCTTGAGCGCGACGGCCGCTGGAGTCGCGAGTCAAGGCACGGACAGCGTAGGGAGAGGGCGAGCCATCAGAAGATGCAGCAAGGAGTGCGTTGACGACAGCCACGGCTTGAACACCGGTAGCACCAATGACCAGGGTGACTTTCTTGTCGGTGGTAGTGGAAGACATTATTGGTTAACTGGAAAGTGCTGATAATATTGTTTCGAGTGTGGATCGTTCCTTCTTATACCTGCTGAGTCCATGGCATCGCTTGCGCTGGCTGAGGCAGCTGAGCATCGCTTGCGCTGCCCGAAAATGCGCGTCGGCCTCAGGCTATGAACTTCGTAACCGACAGCCACTTATTGCACATTGCGCATCGACGGTCGCCATAACGGTGTCCTCGGTGTTACCTGAATGGGTCGGTGTTTGGTACGCCGGAGGCCGATGATTTGAGGAGCTGGTCCATCAGAACAGCACGGGCGTACCAAGACTAGTAAATGCTGAAGACAAAGAACATACGCAAAAATTAGCGCATCTCGCCATTCCCATGGGAGAAGAATCCCGTGTACGCGCGTCCACATCAGGAAACAGGACTTGGCTCCATAGTGCTCCAAAATGCTCCTGTCGCACTCTGTCGCACTGTGGAGCCAAGTTGTTTTCCTGATGCACGTAGCCCCACACCGGGGAGTGTGGGTCTATTGGCTAACCAAACGGTGCTCTCCGGAGATTGAGAGCACGATCAGAGCACTGCGACAGTTTGAATATGCCTTCGAATTATATTTTCAGTTAGCGAATCACGGAGTACAGGAGTCAATACGCGACCGTACCCTCGGTGGCCTGAATGAGTTATCAATGCGATGAACATCAATATTGAGTACGTTGAGCGTTGACGTTGAAATCGAAACTTTGAGTTCTATTCGAATGACACTATGGCAATACAACAGATCTGTTTTCATTCCTTCACCGTGAGCTGCGACAGAGTTTGCTACTGTGTCTTGGGAGGATTTGGTCATTTGTTGTTCTGAGCGAGGACCGCCGTTGCGGCTTCTGAGCTATTGTGCCGCTCGGGCACCGCCCCACACGTCTCAGGGTGCCCCCCCCTACGACGCCACAGCGCAGCCGCAGTCATTTATTGAGGCCGATTGGCGCGCTTCTCTGCATTCTCTCACGTTCACACGGGACGTCGGAAGCTGAGGGCCGCCAACGCCCGCCGCTTCCTCGCAGACGACCTGGGGACGCCCATGAGGCGATGAAACTGGAGAGAGCGCCGCAAGATGGTGTACTTGTGAACCTTGTACACGAGGCGAACGGCTGTGCCCTGCCCTGATATAGCGTCGCAGGACGGCGCAGGTGCGTCGTCCGCCCTCCACCTGCATACACCACACTCGTACTCACGTTTTCGCATCCTGCAGCCTCTTCCGTTTGTTTTGTTTCTCTCTGAAAGATGTCGCGCGTTACAGGAGATGATCTTCCGCCTGAGATACTGTCGCGTATTCTCGATAGTGTCACGTCAGTTGGTGTTGGTACTGACTTGACCGAACGTCGCCGGTCAAAACACGAACTCATCGGATCTAGCCTCGTATGCAAGCACTGGTCCGAAGCCATCAGACCTATCCTCTTCCAAAGACTCCAGTTGCGCAACGCCGAAGACGTACGGTTCCTGAAGAACATCGTCATCAGTCCCAGTTTCGTGACCTCGTCTCTGCCCGAGGCCATTCAGTGGGTATATGTCCACCAAGAAGCTACGGAGGCAAAATCATGGCTTCACCATATCCACGGACTTTCAACCTGTCTCCGGAACACAACATTCGAGTGTACCGTCGTGAGCCCCGCGGGTGATACTGCATCCGCGCCCTGCCGCTGGGCCCCATTTGAATCGATACCCAACGTCACTCCATCCTACGTCAGACTTTCAAAGCTTACCCTCAACAACATTGTATTCGCGAGCACGACCGAGCTTGCACGACTCGTCGACAGTTTCTCCACGCTCCGTTTCTGCATCTGCGGCCAACTCACCTTCCTCGATTCGTCGCCGGTTGTCCAGTCACGCAGAGCCCGCCGACATGCTTCATCGGCCCTCTGGAGGTGCGGTATCTCGCGGTGTAAGGATATGGCGGTCTCCGTTCAAGCGGCGCTGGCCGCTGACATCCTTGCGGCTGGCCGTCGCATGGGCCTTGACGACCGCACATGGGATACAACTCTTCAAGCGTTGTTTGTATTGGTACCAAGCGCATTTGAAGGGGCAGTTGTGTCTCTTTACAATCAGAATGGCCATATGTTTGGTATGTCTTCCAGCGCATGCAAAAAGTGCAAATCTCACTAGCTATTCCTCATTAGACACGGCGAGAATCTCGGGCCATTCATATAATCAAGATGTGTCTATGGGCGATTCTTTCGGAGCCGACATTAAGGTTTTCCGACCGAGCGCGGACCAGGATGCAGGGTCCCCACTCGCGCATGTCGAGAGCATCGCTCTCACACTGTCATTTGCGGATGTCGAAGCCGTGGATATGCTTGATTGGGACGCCTTGCGAGCTGTCATTGATTCCCCGCACATGCACTACCTTCGTATCCACTATTTCGAGCAACAAAACAAAGATTTCGAGGCAGCAAAGAGAATCCTGTGCTCTGTGCTGCGCCGCACGCAGCTGACCTGGGCTCTCGAGTCGGGTAAACTGCAGTTCGGGCAGTTCTTTGGTGATCCCGCCACGAGTGCAGATATCTCGTCGGTACCAGCGGAACACACCATCGACGGCACCACAATCACCCTTGACATCGCCGAACAAGCCGAGTGGTTGCTGCACCCTGTCCGGCGGTCCTTCAATTACCTAGATAACATTACAAGAGAGGAATACCTACGACGGCTCGTAGCTGCGCGCGTGAGCGGAACATCCGCAGACACGGGCTCAGAGGTCGCGCCACCCACCGCAGGCAATACTCAGAACACGGCACTCGAGCAGACCCACGAGGTGGCAGATGACAGTGCGCAGAGAGTCGAAGTGTACGAGGGAGTAGGCGGCGGAGGCGAGGAGGACCTGGCAACGGAGACGTAGGGCGGGCGTGGATATCGGGCGGTAGCCGGGCGCACTGTCGGGTGAGCGGACGAACTTTGGGGAAGGGATGGGTCGTGGGCAGAAGCGTGGCCCGCTGCAGGGAGCTTGGGATGTCGTATCGGAGTCGAGAAAGCAAGAGCTTCGGTGCGGCGGTGCAGACAAGGAGGATTGAGGATGACGAAAAAGTGAAGGAGTAACGGGGCTAAGAATAATCGTGACCCGGCGGATCTTTTGGCCGGCCCTCCCTAGGTGCGATCGAAGACGATTTTCGGACGGTTATACTGAGGTTGGACACTCGCGGCGCGATTGCTGCGAATACGCAGATGATTTTCTAGTATTGGAACCTCCAATCTGATTTGTCATTGCTAAGAGTCTTCTGCTCAACACTTGCTCAGCGCTCAGACGTCGCATATAGTTCCAACCTTCGACTATTGCTCTTCATGTGTCTAGTCTCTCGGAGGGCAGCTACGCGTTTTCTGCCCAGTTTACCTTATTGTACATTGTCTTCCCTTATCTAATTGCTTGTCACCCTCTGCCCTTATTCTTTTCGTAGGTTTCATGTAGTAGTGGATTAAGATTAAGAGATGGAACTGGATAATATTATTTTCTCCACTGCAGAACGGCGCTAAGCGCTCAGATCGAGCGTGTAGGTACACGACAAAGCGGAGATCATGACGCATGTCGAGCAGTAAAAAAATAAGAGACAGACACGGCATCGACGACTTGGTCGGAAATGAATAAGACGGAAGAGAGACTTGGTCCAGGTCGTCTCCAAGCTAGGCACTCCGTGCCACAAAGCCAGCGTTCATGAAGTGATGGGGCGACCGTTCTCGAAGCTTGCTCCCTTTTCTGTCACTCACCACCATCTCCTTGACATGATCGGCCTTTCCACCTGCATACCTCACGAATCCGATACTCGCCTCTGCAGTCTACGCTCAAGCTCAGCTTCTCGCTGACACACCAAGTTGCGGACCGTCTCGTCCATGGTTCGTACTCGTCCCTTCTGCCGTGTCTACGTCCTGCATACCGTCCCTGTAGCCACTGCAACTAGCCACTGCTTTACCAGACATCGCCACTCCCCCCAACAACGCCGAGGCGCAGTTCTACGCGCCCCACCGGGTGCCGTTCCTCAGGATGCGCGTCGAGGCCGGACTCAAGGTTCTACCCCACAATCGACATGTGCGCGCTCGGTGTTATGCACGCAAACCCGGGAGTGAATTGCTGTGGGCACAGGTGCTGAACTCTACTGTTCCTCTGAGCCCGAGACAACGAGTAACGATGCGCGCTGATTACGGCGAGCGGAAGCGGGCAGGGTGGTCTGATGACGAGAAGTTCAAAGGGGGCAGAGATGAGACGGCGGACGACAGCTTTTCGAAGATGTGAGGTCGCGAGGGCTATATTACCATGGTGCGTCTTGATTGTGCTGGCCCTCCGTCGTGAGCTAAATGTTCATTAGTCCCCAACGCCGACATCGGTATTAACGTCCCTGCAGCCAACTTCAAGCTGTTCAATATCATTCTTTTTTTTTTTTGCTCTCCGTCCTCAGCGTGCACGACCGGCTGCCACTTCGCCATGGCCTAGAGTAGAGCCTAAAATACCGACCGGCTTCATTCGCTGAGGCAGTGCAGCCCACGATTCAGCCAGGAAGATCAGCACGGCAGAATATCTCAAGTACACGAGAAGATATGAACACACAGGCGGATGACATAACTGGGAAAGCTTAAGATAGCTGGGACGGTGGCGATACTGGGGCGCGCAATCGTGCGTAGTGGGTCTATGCCATGTAGAGCTGTTCGCCGACCGCCCCCAAGGATCTCTGCCCCCGTTGTCCGAAGCTCCAGGCGACCTCTCTGTCCCTTGATATTGTGAGTGTGGTCATTATTTTACTTACAAGCTCGCTCACGAGTCGCAGGGCATTAGAGTTATGTCGACAAGGACCCCATGGGATGCCGGCATCGGTATCTGCACACTCTAAAATACAACGCATAAGAGGGAGCGTGCGACAGTCTGGCGATCGGAGATAAGGTGCTCACATTGCCGCAGCAAGGAAGATTACTTTGATAGAGTCAGGATGAACTGGCACATGGGACAGATTGGCTACGCACCATCGCACAACTCCTCGGCCATCTTGTGGTGCATCTGCTTCGCCAGCCTCTTCCCGAGAACGGCGCCAACGGCAGTGCATCGTGCCTCCGATGTCAAGAATTATCTTGTCCGAAGCCTCACAGCAAGATAATGCCTAAGGTTGAGGAAGGAAAGAAGAGAGCGAACATGACGAACGGGAGCGAGGAGGCCCGGCGGCGGTTAGAGTCGTGGCAGCGCACGTACGGCCAATAGCGACTGCAACGTGGAACACCTGTTGAAAAGCTCAGCTTGACCTTGGAAGGCTCAGAGTGTCGACGAACGCACCTGGATCCGAGTCCTCATCCACGCCAGTTGCACGTCGCTATGGGCCTGCACAAGCGCATCCTAGACATTGTCCCGATAGCCTGCAGACATAGGCCGAGCTGACGCTGCAATCTGAAGGCTCCGGTCTTGGAGGCGGAGGATAGCGGTAGCCCACCCACGCGGCTAACCAAACGTTTTGCGGCTTCCCAGGCGAGTGTTATCGTCGCGGGTGCGTGTTGCGCACAGGTTCGACCGGGTACGTAGTTCGGCGGCCAGCTGCAGCGAATGTGGATCCTAGAGAGTGGCGAAACGTCGAGGCTGCACATTGGAGAATGGAGGGAGAGGTCTCGGGAATCGCAGCCCCGCCACTTGCTACATCACTTTCACAGCTATGCCAGGTCTGGTCTTCTCCACCGTCGTACTTGCCATGACACGGCATTCATAGTGTCCAACGGTTGATGCACAGGTGGTACCGGCCTCTCGCAAGTTGATCGCCTGGAGACCGGGAAGAGAGAGCAGGATGGGGCTGGGCTTATCGACATCTACCTCTGAGGACTGCTATGCGCATAACTTAGAACGGCGCGACGCTATCGAGGTGGGCCCGCTTCATCTTACATTACCGTTTGCTGTCTCAGGACGGAGCACAGACACCTTCGCCGTACAGCGCAGCAAGGGCAAGCTAGTCGCTGGTTGGTAACAAGGTACGAGGCTAGTGAAGCCTCGTAATTACGGCTGTTGAGCTCTGTCACGGGGCCGAGAAGATGAACGACGCTGGACGGCTACAATGTGCGTATTGTACAGCTCAGCGCGCATGTATGTGGCTGACTCGGACCGCAGGTTATCGGTAGTAGCCAATAGAGATGGAAGACGACATTGGACGTTTGAGTGGTGAAACATTGAAACGTTGAAGAGTTATTCGAATTAAAAAACGCGTACGCTATGGAAATCAGTATATCGATCATTCGCTGTGAGCTGCAGCGAAATCTACTGCCGTGTCCTGTCCAGATCTGGATACTGTTCGGCCCCAAGCAATGGGGCCGTAGCTTGAGAGGCGTGGCGATGGAGGTATATGCAGGTTCTCTGAGCTTTTCTGCCGCTTGGCACCGCCGTACACGTCCCAGGGCGCCTTTGGCAGAGACGCCACAACGTGGCCCTACTCGATCTGGGACATCTGTCGTTGAGGAACCAATGGGCGCGCTTCTCTGCACGGACTCGTCCGCGTTCCCTGTTGAAACTCCAGAATCATATGACGAGGTGTCAGAAGTTGACAGCCACTGACCCCTTGCCAACGAACCTTATACATACGAGGCAAATGGCTGTGCGCTGCCGGGTTATAGCGCTCCGGGTGCGTCGTCCACCGTCCACCTGCATCCACCACACTCGCACCCGCATTTCCGCACTCTACAGACTCTTGCACGTCTACCCCGTCGTCTTCGGAGATGTCGGGCACTACAGGAGCTGATCTGCCGCCTGAGATACTGTCACGCATTCTCCATTGTGTCACGCCAGCTCGATTCTACTGGCATGACTTGGCCAAGCTTCGCCGGTGGAAACACGAAGTCGTTGCGTCCAGCCTTGTATGCAAGTACTGGTCTGAGGCCATCAGACCCCTCCTCTTCAAAGAACTCCAGTTGCACAGCGCCGAAGATGTACAGTTCCTGAAGAACATCATCGGCAGTCCCGAATTCACGACCTCGTCTCTGTCCAGGGCCATCCAGCGGATACATATCCATCAAGAGGTTACGGAAGCGAAGTCCTGGTTTCACCACGTCCATGGACTTTCAGCTCGACTCCGGGAGACGAAATTCGACTGTACCGTCGTGAGCCAAGCGGGCAACGCAGGCAATGCTGCACCGATGCCCAGCCGTTGGGCCCCATTTGCATCGATGCCCAGCATTACTCCATCATCAGGCTATGTCCGACTCTCATGGCTTCGCCTCAGCGGCGTTGTATTCACCAGTACGACTGAGCTCGCTCGGCTCGTCGACAATTTCCCCACGCTCAAGTGCTGCGTTTGCAATCAAGTCACCTTCTCTGACCTGTCACCGGTTGTTCAATCACGCAGAACTCGGCGACGTACCTCATTGGCCCTCTGTGCGTGCACAATCTCGCGGTGTAAGGATATGACGGTTCTCGCCAAAGCAGCGCTGGCTGCTGACATCCTTGCGGCTGGTCGTCGCATGGGACTTGACGGCCGCACATGGGACGCGACCCTTCAAGCACTGCTTGCGCTGGTACCAAATGAGATAGAACAAGCGAATGTGGAGCTTGATGGTCAGAATGGCGGTGTGTTCGGTACGTCTTCTAACTGATGGACGCAGTGCAGACCTCACCAGCTTGTCAGACGTGGCGAGCATACGTTGCTATTCACTCGATCAAGGCGAGTCTGCGAGCGATTATGTCTCAGCTGATGTTAATGCCGGCCGACCGAATGCGGGCCAGGATGCAGGGACTCCGACTCCACTTGCGCATGTAGAGAGTATCACTCTCCAACTCTCCTTCGCGAATGCTGAAACGGTAGACACCCTTGCTTGGGAAGCCTTGCGAGCTGTCGTTGATTCTCCGCACATGCGCCGTATTCGTATCAGATATTCCGTGCCGCCCAAAAACACCTTCGAGGTCGCCAAGAGAATATTGTGCTCTGTCATGCGCCGTACATAGTCGACCTGGGCTCTTGATGCGGATAAACTGCAGTTCTGGGGGTACAATTGTGATCCCGTCACGAGTGCAGACATCTTGTCTGTACCAGCAGAGCACACCATCGATGGCACCACGATCGCCCTCGACACCACCGAACAAGCCGAGTGGTTACTGCGCCCTGTCCGACCGCGCCCTGTCCGGCCTCGCTCTGGCTCAGAGAGCGTCACAAGAGAAAAGTACCTACGACAGCTCGTAGCCGCGCGCGTGAGGGGGGTATCCACGGACACGAGCTCGGGGACTGCGCCACCCACCACAGATAGCACTCAGCACACGGTGCTCGAGCAGACCCACGAGGCGGCAGATATCGACGTCTAGGGAGTCGAAGGGCATGAGGGAGTGGGCGGCGGACACGAGGCGGACCCGGCGATGGAGACAAAGGGCCGGCGTGAACATCGGGTGCGCGCAGGGCGCACTGCCGGGCG